ACTCAGCCCTGTGAATATGCACTTTCTGTGTCACCACTCTCACATGGCCTGCCTTCTGAACTACAACTCAGCGTCTGAACAATGTAACATTATCATTGCTTGCTGGAAGTAATGCATGATGGGATATGCAGTTGTAGCGCTCACCCCCGAAGGAGCCGCTGAATATTGAAATGGGTTCTCCTACCTGTTGGTTCTAGCTACCAGTCCCCTTGGTCAGCAACAGCACACCGACACTCATGGACAGAACGGCTCGAGTCTCAGGGTCTTTTTAGGGTTATTTATTTGCAAGATCAATAGGAGAGAGAGGGTTTAGGATCTGTAGGATGCCCTTGGAATCTTCTGAGGACAGCTTTCTCCCCTAGCAACCGATAAGGCTGAAATCACTGCGATCTGGTCCCAGGGACCAATAGTAGTAGTAGTAGTAGTAGTAGTACTGTGAACAGATACCTGGAATAGGGTGTGGGATCTCCCTTATGGATCCCAGACGGACGCTCGCACCAGCTCCTCTGCGGTACCCCTCATCAAGCGGACTCCTCCCCGACCCAGCTTCCATCAGGTATTTTCCTTAGCAACAGGATCTGGAATCTCTGCCCTCAGCATCTGCAACTGCCAAGGAGCACTCCAGTTTAGTGGTAGTATCCTCTTAGAACAAGGCACCCATCACCTGCCACGTGCATGGGCCCAGCGAAGTATCAGTGTATCCTAGGCCTCCAGGGCCCTCAGCACCTGCCATGTGCTGAGGATGTTGGAAGTGATGGGCAGACGGAAGGCAGTGCTCACTACATAAAAGGGTTTTTTCAAGTAAGCTTTGATTGCATCATTGAAAACACCTCTACTATGTATTCCTATTACAATGCTGATGTCATAACCAGAGAGGATACGCTGGGACTTTACAACTCCTTTAACGTCTTGCCGTCCGCCCGTAGTACAAAAACAGACGGACGGCACTGCTGCATTTGCGGGTTGCCGTCTCCAGACGGCAATTATTTTCTGCTCGTGCGCGCCCCCTAGCGGGCACGCACGGGCAGAAAAGACCCGACATTTTTTTTCAAAATTTAGGGTACTTTTTTTGTTATATAGTAAAAAATAAAAACCCCAGTGGTGAATAAAAGCCACCAAAAGAAAGCTCTATCTGTCCCCAAAAAATGGTATGAAAATCGTTTCAGTAAAGCGTTGCATGACGGAATAAACATCAGTCAAAGTACCGCAGCGCTGAATACTGAAAAATGGCCTGGCCAGGAAGGGGGTGAAACACTATGGCCTTCAAGTGGTTAACACCGCGGATGTCAACTGGTTAATACATAATTGAAGCAGAATTCCAGGGACAATTATTTTAATCTCTGCAGTGGCGTTACACCTGCACTGCGAGGGTTAAGTGCTCATTTTGGTCTAGGGTGGAAAATAATTAATGTATACTCACCCAATCTTTGGAGCCAGCTGGTCGTCACACCGCTCTCATCAGCCCGTTTCCTCCTCTGCTGCAGCAATAGAATGTCGAGTCACAAGGGGGGTGCAGGGGGTGCGGCCCACACCCGGGTGACACCACTGAAGGGGAGACACCAAAATGACTGACAGTCATTTTGGTGTCACCCCTTCTGCAATGGACCGACAGTTGCAAGAGAGAGAGGAGGGGACCCGGCGGCATACCTTATCTATCCTCTCTCTGCCGGCATCACCAAGGTGGACGCTGGCAGGCATCAAAAAGATGACCGCGCATGCGCGATGACGTCGCGGCAGGTGACACCCGGCCTCGGGATGCCCCTGCCTCGGTGTCCTCATGTTCTATACACTGTATAGAATATGATGATTTACAGGACCTTAGGCTGCTGCACGAGAGGAGGAAATGGGCTGCAGGGTCCGGTCTAAGAGCAAGCCGGCTCAGGGGATCAGACGAGTATAACTTTGTCCTCCGTAGACCAAAATGAGTACTTAACACTACTAGGATTATTAGTAATTGTCCCTACAGTTCTTTTTTTTAAATACAAGCATAGTAAGTACCTGAATTTGACCTGGTAGCAGCCTCTTACCGCAGAGCTCAGGCTGGGAGAGAGAAACAGCACAAGTAGCCAATCAGTCGTGCCACAGTGCACATATGCCAACAAGGAACATGCTTATAGGAGGAGTGAGCAGAGTGACATTAAGAAAAGCTCACCAATACATTCTCAATGTCTAGTCACAGGCTGGGGGGGGGGGCTAATCTCTTGCCAGACAGGGATGCCCCGCATGTAAGAGCTGTGTAAATCTCAGAACTGGATAGACCAAAATTATAATTCTTTGAATGGTAATACAACTTCTTTATATGTATTTTATAGGTGCATGCAGATGTTTGGACGGAGTTTAATCCTCCCGACATCCAAACTTCGCCAATCCTGAAAACCCGGGAATTTCCATGTCTGTTTTGCATATTTCATTCAGCAGAGTTGGGCTGGGCACCTTAAAGGTTTGGGAACAGATTTCGAGGGCGATGTCACAGCAATGATCCGGCACAAGTGATTGCTCTTAATAAGGGTGCCGGACACCCAGCAATTTGTAGACTGTAAATGACAACTAATTCAATCTGAACTCCGGAAGATACAAAAGACATAAATGAATGAAGCTATGGAATCATTAAAGGAGAACTATGGGGTCAGGGCTTTTCCCCATAGTTCTCCGAAGGGTAACGAGAGGACACAAATTAGCGTCCTCCCGTCACCCAAAACACAGTATATAGTGAGCTACAGCTCATGGTATACTGAGACGCCGCAGCCGCAACGGATCCCGACAATTCTGTCTGGATCCACCCAGCTACGTGAGTGACAGCTGGCTCTGCCTATCTAGAGGCAGAGCCAGCTGTACCCACCCCCTCCCCCGTCCATTCCGCCAGTCAGCGCTGGAGGATCGGAGAGGGGGAATCCCTGCATGGAGCCGTGAGTGACAGTCACGGCTCTCTGCACAGATAGATCGAGAAGTGAGCGAGTGCCGGTATGTGTTTGCTCACTTCCCGATCTACTGAGCCGACCTGTCACAGTTTCATTGTCACAGGTCGGCTCTGATTATGAGGCTGAGTGAAAATCACTCGCCTCATAGTTCTCCTTTAAATGTATATTTTAAATACAAGCTGTGTAAGTACCTGAATCTGACCTGATACCAGCCTCTAGCAGTTCCTGTACAGAGACTGCACTACAAGGAGCAGATTGGTTCATGTGCTGACAGGAAGCATGCTAATAGGAGAGAGCAGATTGACAGCTCTGCTGTCTACAGAGAACAAGATACGATGGAGTTCACCGAAATGGAAGAGCTACAGATGCGGCTCTCTAATCGTGCGGCCGCTCACTCCTCAAGGAGTACCCGGGAGGCCCTCTGTCTAACAAATATGATTAGAGGGCCGCATCTGCCTGCTCCAGCCAGCCCGGATCACCTCGGTATACCCTTGAGAAGCGAGCGGCTGCGCGATTAGAGAGCCTCTAGTAGCCTCTACAGCCTCTGTAGCGGTGCAGGTGGCAGAGAGGCGGTGGAGGGAGCCACTGCACCTGCGGCCGGGGGCTTCATTTAGCGCAGGGGGTTCAGTGACGGGATATGCTGCGGGCAAACTGGCTGGTGCGGCCACAGGAGAGCCCTCACTACCAACTAGAGCCCCCACTGACCACTGATATACGGTATATAATTATATATTATATTGCCGCCCACACAGTACTGGTGACCCTGGGCGTAACTCCAACCTCCATATGGAAAATGCAGACTCAAGGGATAATCCCTAAAGAGAAGGACGTGTGTTCCAAAAAGTTTACTACTGCAGGCTTTGATGATCAAGTTGAAAGTCCAAGTTCCTGGTCAGAAAGTATTTTTCGGCTGAAAGCGTGTGCTGTTACCGCTGTTGTAAAAAAAATATGACACAATGGATAGTCATGGTTAATATTTATATTACTGTGAATTGAGAATTTACATAATTTTCCTTAAGCCATTATTTATTGGCACTAGTATAGTTTGTTTACATACTGCCATCTGGTGGTCATTTTGGTAATAGCCAGTGGCGTCACAAGGGGGGTGACAGTCATTTTGGTGTCACCCCCTCTGAAAAGTCGGGCACTCAGTCATGCACTGAGAGCTCGACAGTTGCTCAAGAGAGAGGAGGTGACCCGGCAGCATACCTTATCCTGCCATGTGAACGTCCCCTCCTGCGGTGCGGGTACCGTGTGACACCCCGCAGTGACGTCACGCACGTATGCGATTACACATTGTGGGGTGTCACCCGGTACCTGCACTGGGTGTCACCCCGCCCCGTGAAGCCTCTGGTAATAGCACCATCCTTTTCTGTGTTCCCTCCCATATTATGATGTATTTTCCTTTCTTAATCATTATAAGTCTTCTCATAAAAATGGCTGCTTATCTTATGGCCACATGTTCACATGCTCACATGGGGGAAAGCATTACCATATTTTGACCTGCACATATTGTCTTTTCAATCATCTGCTGCATCCTGTTGTCTGCTGTAACCTACTGCATTCAATAAATATCTTTGTGGATGAAAAGGTGTTTAATTATTTCAGCTATCTGATAAAGATTATCTGCGGTGATTGTATTGGCTTATACAGGCCAGGCAGAGGTCTCAGCAAGGGTTAAATCACTGATACAACAGTTGTAACACTGATACAACAGGAGTCAAAATAATGCAGCTAAGGCATGGGACCCCCAGGAAACTAAGGCAGCTTGGAAGAGATATTGTGCTGAAATGCAATTAGAAGTGTGCATAGGTATAGAAAACACACATATATGGTATATGTAGCTTACAAGTACATAAAGTTTCCCATTATATACCACACAATTATAGGTGCCAGGTAGACGTAGCAGATTCCGATAGTGGTGGTGGCACATGATTGTCTTTAGTATACAGAAGACTGATTGGTCCTACAATGACTATAATGTAACTGATTTGTTGGAGAAAAAGATCTGGTGCAATAAACTTCTTCCTTAATCCATTCCGATACATCGATACATCAATGGCCCGGTGCCAATGTAACATATCAATGTCTTCTGCTCTTTCCAATAGTCACCAAGCCAAATACTATAAGAACCACCAGAAGGATGACAGCCAGACATGTGGCAATTATCACTCCATTGGAGATGCCTCTGCTCGATGGTTCAACTGACTCGTCATCTGCAGAAAGGAAAACACACAAAATATTACCATGGTGCCACTGAAATCAATGAAGATGATTAATACACATTTCTTATGGTTTAGGGACATATTAAGAACTCCTTTTATTCCTCAGCATTTTTATAAAGGTAACTATAGAGGGAACTGTATGTATACTGCCCATGCACACTGTGTTTTCATGACTTAGAGCTGCTTACACTCAGGAGGCAGCAATTTTTAGGACTGTCTGCTAGGGATTAGGATACTCTACAGTTTGTTCAAAGGGACAACTTCTGTTTAAAGGAGAACTATGGGGTCAGTGTTTTTCCCCATAGTTTTCCTTAGGGTAACGGGAGGACACAAACTAGCGTCCTCCCGTTACCCTAAGCATTAGTGGGCGTTCCTGGGCAGCCTGTACTTGCATACAGACCACCCTAGGTAATGCCCATGTGAAGCCTCCATAATTGAAAGAACTGAAATTCAATGAATGAAAGGGGGCGGGCCAAGGACAGTCAGCCTGGGGAGGCATGAACTAGATGATGCTGGATGTCCTCCAGCCAGAAAATGAGGAGGGCTCTATCTGATATGCTGCAGCTTCTAATGCACATTGTGCGAAGCTCTCCGGGTCCGCAGTGAAATCACACTAAGCAATTTCAGTCCAGGAGAGGAGCCGGTACAACTGTGCAAGACTGAAGGGAAGGTTGGAGTTCAGCTTTAAAATAGTGTAAAGCTGATGCTGCCCTTTAAATTAAGATTTCTTTGGGCATATCCCAGTTTATAATATACAGACACACCTAACTTGACCCAGTCCTCCCTGAAGGGTGAACTCATGCTGATATGGTCGACACTACAGGTATAGACATCTTCCTTCTCCAGGGTGATGTTCATTGACAGCCAGGTGAGGTAGGTGATCTCGGGAAGAGGTAGGGTCACTATCTCCATCAGGCTTTCCGGCACCGGCTCTCCATTCTTGTACCACGTCATGGAGATGTTCTTGGGGTAGTGCCCATATGCCCGGCAGCTCAGTCTGGAAGTGGAATTTGTGATGGGCGTCTGTGTCACTCTCACAATTGGTTGTTCTACAGAAGGAGAGGAATGAAAAGACAAAGTAAAGAATCCAGAAATATCCGACAAGCTATGTAGATCCAGGCCAAAGTGCAGATGCAGGCCAAAGTGCAGATGCAGGCCAAAGTGCAGATGCAGGCCAAAGTGCAGATCATGGCTAAAGTGCAGATCATGGCCAAAGTGCAGATCATGGCCAAAGTGTAGGTCATGGCTAAAGTGCAGATCATGGCCAAAGTGCAGATCATGGCCAAAGTGCAGATCATGGTCAAAGTGCAGATCATGGCTAAAGTGCAGATCAAGGCCACAGTGCAGATTAAGGCCAAAGTGCAGATCATGGCCAAAGTGCAGATCATGGCCAAAGTGCAGATCATGGCCAAAGTGCAGATCAAGGCCACAGTGCAGATTAAGGCCAAAATGCAGATTAAGGCCAAAATGCAGATCATGGCCACAGTGCAGATCAAGGCCACAGTGCAGATTAAGGCCAAAATGCAGATCATGGCCACAGTGCAGTGCTTTTCACCTAATGGTAACCAATCCCCGGGTGTGCTGCCTGCATTATTTTTATTTTTTCATGCATTTTTTCTTTTCTCCAACTGGTGATCCTGCCAGTAACATACTTCCTGTCCTAGAGTGACAACGCTCACTCAACATCTTGTATCTACATAGTAGCAGCGTTGCCACCCTTGGCTGCTCTTTTGATTTGGACTAAAAACACTTCCCTCTTTTCTTATCTTCAATACATGGAGTGAAGTTGGGATAGCTGGTAAAACTGATAACATTCTTTGAGAGTTCAGTGCACAGGAAGTTACAAGGACACTGGATTTCTGGCAGGATCAACTGTTATTGTCTCTACTTGCTGAAACTATGCTTGGCGTAGAAAAAAGAAAACAGATGCAGACACATCTAAGGATGCAAGAAACAGTATCTTTTTTAGTTTACCCCCACAACCAAAATGTGCACTTAACCCTTGCAGTTTAGGGGTAAAAGTCTCCCTTGTGTAGACATTGGAAAACCCCCAAGTACAGTATGCTTCTGGTTGCCGCCATTTTGGATGTGATGACAGCAGTCCAACAGACTCAAACTGTCACTCATATTACACTCTACAATATTCATGTGTATATACAATTTATACACATTCAATATTCATAGTACCCACATATAATGTTATGCAGGGGGGTGAAGGGAGGGGCAGACGAGCTGGGCCAGCACAGAGAGGAATTAGACACTCCCAGAAGAGGAGAGGGCTATGGCATGGAGGGAGGGAGGGGACTGTGCTAGGAAATTGACTCCTCCGGGAGTGAAAACTGAAACATCAGTTCTGGGTTGATGCCCCCTTTTACATTTCAGGTACAAAATGCAGGAATTATCCCCTGGTGGGTCTTTTATTCTTCCTGTGCCATACATACATGTAATAGGACAGCACGGTACCTCTCCTGTTAAACGTGCAGTTCCCCAGTGACAGTAGCTCGGTTATATGCTGCACGCATGTATTCAGCAGAATATCCCTGTTCTTCTCTCCCATAGTCTTGTTACGATTAAAGAGATCAGCGAAGTGTTGTCCTCTAGAATCCTCCGCGATCCAGTGAGCCTTCTCCACAACGAAACTGAGGAACGGTTTTCCATCATAACGATAACTGCATACTGTGTCAATTGTGCCATTAACGTATACAATGCACCCCTGCATCCTCTGCAGAACGTGGAACCCTGTAATCACACCAGAGAGAGCCAAACACAGAATGAATGCAAAGCATGGAACCTGTGACTAAGGCATCAGCTCCTCCTAAAGTAGTGTATACAGGGTTAGAATTTAGAATGACCGTTCAAAATTGAAAAAGTTTTCCTCGATCGAACAGTGAATGTGGTTTTCGTTCAGAAACTCCATTCATTCCAAAATTGAATGTTAAGAGAACTATGGGGTAAGTGTTTTCCCCATAGTTCTCTTAAGGGTCATGGGAGGACATATTCTAACCTTCTCCCGTGACCCAAAGCTCAGTATATCGCGAGCTACAGCTCGAAGTATACTGAGACCGCCGCAGCTGGGACAGATCCCGACAATGCTGTCGAGATCCATCCAGCTGTGTGAGTGACAGCTGACTCTGCCTATCTAGAGGCAGAGCCTGCTGCACCCGCCCCTTGCTCCAGTCAGCGCTGGAGGATCGGAGTGGGGAGGGGGGGGAATCCCTGCAGGGAGAGGTAACTGATAGTCACGGCTCTCTGCAGGGAGATGATCGAGAAGTGAACGGTATGTGTTCGCTCACTTCCCGATCTATTGAGCCGACGTGTGACAGTTTAATTGTCACACGTCGGCTCGAACTATGAGGCTGAGTGAAAATCATTCGCCTCATAGTTCTCCTTTAAATAAAAACGAAAATTAAACAAAATTTCCAATGACAGTTGGCAAGTTTCTGATGCCAGTATTGAACATCCCCGCTGGATACTTTGTATGAACGGTCGTTCAACAATTCTATTTGTGTATACCCTACTTTAGTCTTTCTAAAAAGACAGATCACTGTGAAGGAGCTGAGAAAGAACTGGAATCAGCCATCTTGCCTGCTGGAACAAAACATCTAAATGGTACAAAATATTTTTGTAAAAATTATTTTTCATTATGCTGTGTGAATGGGAACGTATAACAAACATATAAAGGGGGTTTCTCAACTTTGAGTGCAAGATTGGAAATACACTTTAAGTTAGCCATGCACATTATAATTCAGTTCAAAAATAATTGTTTTCAAAACATTTCCAAAACATTTTGGTTAATAAGGACTAATGGACGATTGTTTTCCACTGTATTGACCTGAAAAATGGAAGGCCTGGGTTGGAAACTTTGTCATTTCTTATCTGAATTAACAAAATGATGTTAATGTGATCCTCAGTCAGGAAAAATAATACTTTCTGTAAAGCACATGTGCTAGGAAATGTTTCATCCAAAATTAGAACTTTCATGTTCATCTGTTTAAATGATTATGAATGGTAAAGGAGTGTATGAAAGAACAATACAAACAAAGGTCACGACCGCATGACAATATGACACCTAGCAATGCTAGCATGAAGGATATTGCTGCCACCATTCACCTGCATGCATAGGTATATAGCACAAAGGTGCCTTATTTGTTACTAGGACGCCAAGCAGTTTGAGCCGCCTGCATCCTAGCAACGGAAGATGCTATATGACTCCTTGCTGCCTGGCATCCTTGGTTGCTACGGTGCAGACGGATCGAGCCACTGAGCATCCTTGGATGCAGGCAGCTCCTTGCTACCTACGGTCTTTGGTTGCTAGCATGCAGATGGCTCAAGCCACCTGAATTCTGTAAACGAAGGGGTGGTTGCATTAAGTTGCCTGCATCCTAGCAACATAAGACACAAGGCAGCTCCTTGCTACCTAGAGTCCTTGGTTGCAATTATGCAGGCAGCTCCAGCCAAACATCTTTGGAAGCAAGCAGCTCCTTATTATCTATGGTCCTTGGTTGCTAGGATGCAGGCGGCTTAAGCTACTGAGCATCCATGAAAGCAAGCAGTTCCTTATTACCTAGGGTCCTTGGTTGCTAGGATGCAAGCTGCTCAAGAAGCGTAAATTCTGGAATCATGGTTGCATCCAATCCCCTGCGTCCTATGAATGAAGGATGGTAGATGACTCAAACTGTCTGCTACGGCGAAAGTGGCTACTGTAAAGTGTTTTTGCGCTATATACCGTACAGGCCCGGCGCTACCGCAAGGCATGAGGCTGCCTGAGGGCGCTGAAGGGTGAGGGCGGAAAAAAACAGGGCATTTTGACAAGTACTTGTACTTGTCAAAATGTCCCGATGCTTGCGCTGTTTTCTTTTTTTCTTCACTTACCTTTGGTGCGGGAGAGCAGCGGCGAGTCAGCGCTGGTCCGGTGGGAGGAGCTCCAGGTGGGGTCCTAATTTAGCTGGCCGGCGACTGCCAGAGGATCCCGACAAGTCTGCAGTGTGTACTCTATATGTACTACATATAAAGTACACACTGCAGACAATAGATGTACAATTATCCTCTGCTAATATGAATGGATTAAATGATCCATAGTACATAGCACACCAGTTAGTGTTAGTGAAAAGGAAGGGCAGTTAGTGTTAGTGAATAGGGAGTGCAGTTAGTGTTAGTGAATAGTTAGTGAATAGGGAGTGCAGTTAGTGTTAGTGAATAGTTAGTGTTAGTGAATAGGGAGTGCACTGTTAGTGAATAGTTAGTGTTAGTGAATAGGGAGTGCAGTTAGTGTTAGAGAATAGTTAGTGGTAGTGAATAGGGAGTGCAGCTAGTGTTAGGGAAAAAGGAGTGTGATTAGTGTTAGTTTATGGTCCTGCTCAACATATTTTGCGGTTCTCTGTACTGTTCAAGCGGGGGGGGCGCAAAAATGCACCTTCGCATGTGTAGGCAAAAATCCTTGCACCGGCCCTGATACCATACAAATGTAAAATCCGATCCATATGCAGGCCTCAGGCACAGATTTTTCTATTTTGATTTTATTGATCCCTATGCCTCTTGAGCACTGGCCCATAGAAAACAATAGACCAGTGTTCAGATCCATAAAAATTGCTGTACTGATTAAAACACAACCGACTCTCGACTGTGTACATGAGTCCCAAATCATTTAAATACATCCCAGGTGCATTAAAAAAAGGTACCTGAGAAAAAGACCCCTGAAGACTGTGTGGAAGCAGGGCTCTCTCTGAAGAGGTCCTTTACGGAGTCAGATCTATAGAGCTGCAGTAAAAAAACTCAGGTTCTCTACTGGAGAATATTCTTCTCCCCAACATCTGAAGAGGATGATATTTGTACCCTTCTTACAAAAACTCTCCTTTAATGATATAATAAGGTGCTTACCTTCCGTGTCATTCAGATAAGTCTGGAATATTCGGAACAAGCTTTCCTGGCTGCGCTGGATCATCAACTGATTGAGACTTGCATCCAGTAAGGTGGCATAAGTGCTTCTAAACCAGGGCACTCTGCGCTCAACAACCTCGCTAACACCATCGTACCAGTACAGTGTGATGCCATCAATGGATCGGGTTGCGTAATATGATGGGTAGTTGTAGCTGGACTTGGTGACGGTTATGAAGAAGTAGTGTGAGTGCTTCTCTGTGTAAGAGAGAGAAAAACGTATTAAATTGTACAACATATGTATTGTGGATAAAGTAGGAAAGAGTAAAAAAAAAAAAACCTGCTGGGTTATTTGTCTTGCTGTCTTTGTACCATTAGGGAATTTTCCCTTCACTTCCTGCCCCAGAGATGCAACAGGATACTGGGGATGTGCTTCAGGGGACATAAGGGATCATTCACAAAGGTAGCAGGTCAGGATAAGGATACATATTTTCAAAAAAGTGACAGTAATTTTCTGCTGAGACCAATACGATTTGAAAATAATAGTCACATGACTAAAATAAAGATACTTATCCTTGTGTTGAGGCTTTGTGAATTGAGTCTATAGACTGTTAACACATCACTGGAGAATGCTAGAAATACCTGCTAACAGAGGGCAATAGGGATTCATAGACTACTCTCTGTAGGGGCCCTGAGGGCTGCACAAAAAGTGCCAAAGGGCCCCATGTGGCCCCTAGGCTTAAAGTAACATTAAACCCTCAGATTTTTTAACATAACCCAATACTGTAATGTGTGCCTTACTGTAATCCATGGTAGTTTCCCTTCTCTTTGCTGCTCTTCCTTTTAAATTTGTATCTGTTCTCATGCTGGGCAGAACTTTTGTTTTGCAGATGACTGCCTTGTCTGAGGAATAGATACACGGTGTCTGTGTATAGGTTTGTATAGGCTTGTAACCTGAGCCAGCACTACAGGAAGAGGCCCTGAGCTGAAAAGGGAAGTTCTCCCCCAGCATGAGAAGACATGAGGATTTAAAAGGAAGAGCAGCAAAGAGAAGGGAAACAACCATGGATTACAGTAAGGCGCACATTACAGTATTGTTTTATGTAAAAAAATCTGAGGGTTTAATGTCACTTTAAAGTTGGACACTAGGAATGTATATACAAATAAGGTCTACCCTAACCCAAAATACGTTAAGCAGATCTCCAGCAAATGTATTAAGCACAAATATCTGTCCCTGCACTGTATAACCCACTGAAGTCCTCTGGGAACATTGTTCTGTCTTATGGGGTTTGTAGAGAATATATTGTTGTATAAAATATTGTTTTGTGTGCGTGTATGTGTGTGTGTGTATGTATGTGTATGTATATATGAGGGATGCACAAATACCGGTTTTTCGGTATCAAGTACGAGTACCGATATTTTACTTTTTTTGGTACTAGCCATACTGATACCAATACTGATACCGGAAGTCCCATTAAGAAGCCGGGCGGCATGTAATGACTCGCCACCAGGCTTCCCGATTAGCAGGGAAGCTGTCTCCATGCTCCCTCGTCACCAGGTGATGACTCACTGTCCAGTTTCCTGGAAGCTAGGCGGTGAGTCATTACACACTGTCCGGCTTCCTGATTGGCAGGGAAGACAGCTCCATGCTCCTTGATGAGGAGGGAGCATGGAGCCCGCTTCCCGGAAAATCAGGAACCCAGGGGGCGGGTAATGATTCGCTGCCCGGCTTATTTGTCAATAAGTGGTATATAAGATTTAGAGAGAGATTTAGAGAGTTAGTCTCATGTGGTGTCCAATCACAATGCTTCTCTTGGTATATATGCAGTACAGATTAGTGGGGATGCCTGCTCTGTATATAGGGATGATAACTCCTGTGGTTTAGAAAAGAAGAAAAATGTCCTCATCACTCCTATCAGCTCTTTAATAAATATATAAACAGTAGAAAGGGACTTAAATCCTTTGTCTAGTTGTTAGTACATCTGCCTTGCAGACCTGGGGTCCTTGGTTTAAATCCTGGCCAGGACACTACCTGCATGGAGTTTGCATATTCTTCCTGTACTTGTATAGGTTTCCTCCCACACTCCAAAGACATGCTGGTCGGTTCATAGGCTCCCCTCTAAATTGCAGTATTACGTGTGCATGCATGTGAGAGATGGACATTAATGTATAAGTTCCTTTCCTTCCTATTTATAGTGCTCCATAAACTGACAGTGCTATATACATATCTGTAATAAATGATAAGTCTGGCATCCTCAGAATCTCTGTTACAAGTTCTTTTCTTTCTGGTACTAATGATCATATACTTGCACATCACCATCTAGTGGCAGAATGGGAGAAGGACGCCCCAATCTATGTGGAAGATTTTATATTTTGGTGTGATCGGGGGCATAACTACACATCATCTCCTGCTGCCTGTCCTGGATACATACTTTATGTTAGGATCAATGACACATATTACCACAGTTGACACAGCCAGCTGCTACAAAAAGCATTAGACGAGGGGGCCCAAAGTTTTGCTATGGTGCTTATAGCTGCCGGAACTCTGTTTACATGTGTAAAACCGACTGTCGGCTTTACACTGGAAGCGATTCTGGTGGCTGAGGGGTCAGTGTAGTGAGCACCTCTCCCCGTCCGACACCCCCATCTTGCTTTCCGGGCTCTGCTTCCCCTCCTGCAGGCCCAGGACAAGCATCACGGGTGTCAGTAGAAAGCAGGGAAGGAGCCAATGTTATTTTCTGCTATTGATATTACACTGCTTTGTATTGTAAATTATTATGTTGAGGTGTATGCCTGACATCTATTTATAAATTAGCGCTACTACAACTTGTTTTTTTCTGATTATTGGTATTTCCCACTGTCCTCCCCTCCTGTCTAGTGTCAGTTGGTATAGTGTTGGATAATCCCTTGCTGCTTCTTCAACTTTCCCTCATTTAGTTGTTGGCCATCATCACAGATACTAGGCTGAGAAGATATATGTCTTTTTACACTTGAAATGACCAGCAAACATCCTCTGTAATGCACTTTGTGAAGTAAATCTACAATGGATTTAAGCTTCTGTGTCTTTTTTTTAATCTTTATTTTTTTCATTTTAAAAGAATTAAATAAACACAACAATTCATTAGCATTTTGCAAACAGTGCTACATGGACATAGTTGAAGTGCACATTGGTAGTGGGGCGACAACATAATCAATATTCTGGAGGAACATAGGTAGAGCTTGATGTCCTATGGGTGCATCCAGGGAAGCAGCAATATAAATCGGAGTATGCATTGTGGAAAGTCCCATTACCATGTGCAATAAGGAGAGTAGAGAATAGTAATAATGATGGAGGGAAATGGAGGAATTGGGGAAGAGGGACAGGAGCAGGGGGAGGAGGGAGGGAGAAAGAAAAGGGAAGTAGGGGAGGAAGGAAAGAGGACTGTGGGAGAGGGGTCATTAAAACTGTGAAGAAAACAAAGATATACAATGTAACAAAAGAAAAAAAAGGCAGGCCAGCTGGGGGGATCCGCAGGTCAGCTATTGCAATATTTCCAGTCTCAAAGGGAATCGGGTATTATCAGTAGTCATGTATGTAGGAGTTTTCCTTGTTTCTCACATAAAATGAAAGCTTCTAAGGCCCCGTTCACACTAAGCGACACTTAGCTCGAGCGGATTTCCACGCGACGGTTCGGGCGACGTTCCAGCGACCTTCACCGTCGGGCTGCATTAAAGGGGTTCTAAACCCTCTGGGTTTTTTTGCCTATATTTACTGTCAGCAAGCAGTAAATATAGGCAAGAAGTTTTTTAAAAAAAACCTGCGCTTTAACTAGTTTTAAACTTACCTCGTTATCGCTGCTCGCTCCCGCACCGAGAATCAGGAACTGCTTGTACGGTCGCAAAGGATCTTGGGGCGGGCGCATGCGCAGTTCCGATTCTCGGCCGGGAGACGAGCAGAGACGCAAGGTAAGTCTATGGACGCGTGCACCCGCATGCAGACACCGCTGGATCGGAGGGACAGAGCAGTCAGCGCTGGATCGGAGAGACGCCGCACTGCTGGAGGGACACATGAAAACATGGGGAAAGAAGAGGAAGATCGGAATAAGATACATCATTTAAGGTAAGTGCTAACATCCGCGGGAAAAGGGGTCCTGCAGGCGAGACTTGCGACGGGCGACATGGAGCTGTACATTAAGACAGCTCCATTGAAAATCATTGGCCGGCAACTTCTCGCGATATTGTGCAGCAAAAATGTGCGATATCGCGGCGGAAATGGCGGGATTTTCCGCTCAGTGTGAATGGGGCCTTATTGAAGAGTGAGGCTGTCTGTGGATTATGCTAATTCAGCTGATGATGATACTGCCTGTAATTATCAAGACCCTAAGGATGTATGTCGAAGCATAAAGTGGAATCAGAACAGATCCTATCATTGTATTTCTTGTCAATCAGCCAACACAAATGTTTAGATATTTCTGCCTTGTACTACCGTTGTCACAAAAGATTTGATTTTTTTCTCGCCCCCACACAAAGGAAGTTAGTTTCATGGTAACACCGAGTGCAATGAAGTATGAATTCCCACTCCATGGACAAGGAGTCAATGTGGATAAAATAACAGAATGTACAGTAAGTCTACAGGCTAGATAAAAGAAAAGATAAGCTTGTCCAGTGGAAGAAACGGCAATTGTTTTAGGTCGCTGATGTCTGTAAAACTGAAATTACATGTAAATACGGGTTGTGAGTATTAAGGAACTTCAGTCAGGATATCAATTGCCGGTCACTTTACTTATTACCAGATTACATTACTTGCCTTAAAGCTGAACCAAACTATAAGCATTTCTAACACAACAAAATGTCATATAGTGCGGCTTACCAGTCCTTAGATATGGCGGCTGCATTAGTTTTACCTTTTATTTTTCCTGGTGATCCTCCCAATGACACACTTCCTGTCCTAGGGTGACAACGCTCACTCATGCAACTGTATTTATGGAGGAGCAGCATTATCACCCTAGACCAGTGTTTTCCAACCTTTTTACAGTCATGGCACCTTTTATAAGTATGCAAAATCTGGAGGCAGCCCAGTCTAAAATGTCACATATTTTAAGGGGGATACCACCCAAAAACACACAAACAAGTGGGTTTCCCCTTCAGAACGAAGGCCCCCTTCAAGTTAAGATTCCCCCATAACATCAGAGTCAGCCTTTGCATCAGAAGTTCTAATTTTTCATCAGAGTTCCCTCTTTACATTAGAGTCAGCATTTCCATCAGAAGTCCTCCTTTTACATCAGAGTTCCCCTTTACATGACTAAGGTGGCTCAGAGGTCCCCTTTTACTGGCACCACCCCCTTTACCTTCGATTCCCCACCCCCTTCCTTCCAATTAACACACTACACCAGGGTTGGAGTATAAATGGCCACAGCAGCCTTTTATTACAAAACTTTTATAAATAACAATCAAAACAACAATAACCAAGTAACAGTACAGTAGGACTTGCTAGGTTTCAAGGTCCTTGAAGGCACTATAACTATCCAAAACGCGGACCAGTGTCTGCGGGCACCTTTCTTAAAACGGAATGACCCCAGCCGCCATACACCTCCTCTGGGACGTACTTCAATTGCCCGCAGACCCACCGTGGTCCCTATTACCAGGTCATAACGTTTGACCTCACCACCACAGAAGGCCACCCACACCACTGATGGGTCCCTCCGTCAAATTATCCAACCCAGACCAATGCCTTCAAGGATCCAAACTGCCATAATGCTGCGACAAACTTTTGACACCACTAAAACCATACCATAAGTCCTGTTCCTTCTCCTGGTCACGCTGGCTCCTGGAACTCCTCCTTCCCGGATACTCTCTGAAACTTCTCCTGTAAAGCTTCCTCCTCCAATCCCGTGAGTATCCCTCCTCTAATTCACTTTTCCTTTAACCCTTTTCTCTCCTGGTTCCCTTTCCCACCCTTGCCATGTAGGCATTTAGCTTATTGCGCTTTGTTCCATAGCTCCCGGCCTGTCTTTAGAGTCACCCTTTGCATCAGAAGTCCTCCTTTTACATCAGAGTTCCCCCTTTACATCAGATTCACTCTTTGCATCAGAAGTCCTCCTTTTACATCAGAGTTCCCCCTTTACATCAGATTCACCCTTTGCATCAGAAGTCCTCCTTTTACATCAGAGTTTCCCCTTTACATTAGAGTCACCCTTTGTATCAGTGGCCCCACTTTGCATCAGTGGCCCCCCTTTCACATCAGAAGTCCTCCTTTCACATCAGAGTTCCCCCTTTACATCAGTGGCCCCACTTTGCATCAGTGGCCCCCCTTTCACATCTGAAGTCCTCCTTTCACATCAGAGTTCCACCTTTACATCAGCGTCACCCTTATCATCAGAAGCCCCCATTTACATTAGGAGCCCCCCTTTCACATCAGTAGCTCCTCTTTCATATCAGAGTCCCCCTTTCACATCAGAAGCCCCCTTCACCTCAGCCTCTATTCCCCCCTTCATATCACAGTGCCACGACCACAAAAATACGAGGCACCCCAGAGGGAGCCAGAAGACACACCAGGGTTCTGCAACACCCTGTTTGAGAAAGGCTGCTCTAGACTGCTGTCCTGATTTGGACTACAAACACCTCCCCTTCTCCTTTACATAGGGATAAGGGGTTTTTGTAACTCACAGAACATAGCTGAGAAGACTGTTGTTTCTGGCAGGATCAGTAGGTGTTTTTTCTGACTTGCACAAAATTCTGTTAGCTTGCAAAAAAAGAAAACTAATGCAACCAACACATCTGAGGACTGGTAAGCAGCAATGTGTTATATTTTTTTATTTCTTGGGCTTTGATATCTTTCGCTGTCAGAACCATTTTTATCAGTTTTTGTTTTTTGGATACATAATGCACGTTTTAGGACTGAAGATTTTCTGGAAATAGAGACCATATAGAATAAAATGATAACAATGCAATGTTTCATGTCACATGAAATTAGCACCAACCGAAATGTGAAGTAATACATATAGTTAAGTTAAGTTATGATTGAATTTTGGCCCTAGAACTATTGCTATCACTTTGGCAGGAACAGCAATACCAAATTTAGTGGCACAGTTGTCATTTTGGTATGAGTGCATGCCCAATGCATGTGTGTGCGTGCGTATGTGTGTGGGAGCTTTTCTTATTTCTTTTTATTAAAACGGGCTTATGTTTTGGAGAGGTATTTTAGGGAGTTACATTTATTTTTTTAGTGGTATATCTGTCTTTATTTTATGTTAATAGGGCCTTTATTTTAGGCTAAACTGCTTTTTTTTTCTTACCCCCAAGGTTTCCCTTTAAAAACAAAAAGTGGGCTTTTGTTTTAGGGGTGGGGTTTTGCACCCTGCTACATCGCTTGAAGGAAATATTTGAATATTTAAAAACAAATCCAATGTAGTAGGGTGGATTGGCTGATGATCAGGGCACCACATTACCAGCAATCTCAAAATATAAACATAATAGATGTATATATATATATAATGTTCGACACTGTCCTTCCTTCTGGAGGGTGGCTACTATTTTTGTTCCCCATGGTCCCTGTGTGTGTTGTAAATTAGTCACCGCTCCAAGCTCGCTCCTGTGATGGACGACAATCTCATGTTTAGTTTACTAATTTGTATTGAGATTGTCGTCCATCACAGGAGCGAGCTCAGATCGGTGGGAAGGAAGGACAGTGTCAACACCAATTCAGAGATGATTGGAGGATCTACAGCCGAGTGATACACAAATAAGATACATTTCTGTTACTAGTTCAGGGACTTGAATATATTTTTAGGATTTAACTCCTAAGTTTAGTGTCACTTTAAGGATTGACATACACTTTAATTATACAAGATTTTAGTGATTGGGTACACATCTACTTTAAGGTCTGTAATAAAAAATAAGGATTATATTGAATTTTCACAGGTAACACTGGCAGCATCTAAAGTGATCATCTTACCTGTATAAGCAATAACAGCAGATAAGCAAAGAATCACAGATGCCAAGAGTAAATATTTCTTCATCATACAGATGTTGCTGCTTCTTCTACCTGTTGTGTGTCTTCTCCGGTCTGTAGTGAGCCAATTAGCCTGCAGTTGGTGGTATGTATTCTGTCCCTCACAATCTGGTTCAGTGGAAGAAGTCTGGGTGTATTGCCAGCTTCTAGACAGTGCCAAGTAAAAGCTACTCGCTGAACTGGAAGTTAATATACGGCACTTGGGATTATCCCCAGTGGAGAGGTGCCATTGTGATTCAGAGTATTTATCACATTCTTGAGTAATAAAGAACACAAGCCAGGATTTTATCCATGACAAACATATCAATAATCACCTCATGTGCACTTTTGCAGTTAGACACCTAGGGGTCTATTCACGAAGCTGCCAAGTGAAAGACCGACCTGAAGTGAAGTGAGCTGAACACTGTTCGGCTATTCACTTCAGGTTTGTACGGCTGATTTCAGCCATATATCGGCTGAAATCAGCCGTACATCGGGTGGCTTCGGGTCGGCCGAACATGCTTAGCATATTCAGCTGAGCCGAAGTGCAGGAGGAGTTCGACTTAGCCGATCCAACATCTGGATTGGCTAAGCCGAACCTCCGACAGGCTACTCGCTGCTGTTCGGTCTATTCTTATAGATATCTAACAGCAGTGAGTAAATAGCCGAATGCCACTGAGGGGCATTCGGCTCGGCTGTTCTGCTCGGTCCCACAGAAGGCCCGATCAGAACAGAAAAATAGTTTAAAAAGTAGAAAAATAAAAATAGAAAACGATTGTGTGGAGCTAGCAATGACAGCTAGCTCCGCCCAACTGTTTTCTATTGGCCGGCGGTTCTGCTGCCGTCAAAAAAAAGAAAAAAAAATTGCCATAGGAATGCATTGCTAGATTCCTATTGGTTATTTCAATTTGCAATAGCCAATAGCAAACTAGCTATTGCACCCACCCTCTGCTGCTGTCAATCACCAGTGGGGACCTGATGGAGAACTGCAGCAGTGGGCGGGTACAATAGCTAGTTTGCTATTGGCTATTGCAAATTGAAATAGCCAATAAGAATCTAGCAATGCATTCCTATGGTGAAATTATTATTATGATTTTTTTTTATTCTCACAAGGCTCCGTGTCAGAATAAAAAAAAAGAAAAAGCAGTGTTTCTCTCCTGGGCGGCCGGGAGCGGGAGACTCCCGGAGCGCCTGGGAGAGTTAGGCTGTCTGGAGATCAGTGTCCCTGGTTAGCTGGGCTCGGCCAGCTTCGGCTTTCACCTTGGCTGAGTCGAGTCACAGCATATGCCTTCGGCTCGACTGAGTCGCCTGGCCGACTTCGGGAGCTGTACGGGCTATAATGAATATACTCTACTGAACCGAAGGGGTCCTGGGGCCGAAGCTAGCTGAAGGATAGGCCGAAGCTACGGCTAGATCCTTCGACTGCTTCGTGAATAGACCCCCTAATATTCCCAATTAACCTTCCGCACACCGCTATAGAGATGTGTCTAGTAGTGTGTAGATGGTTAAAGTGCAGCTATAGCCAAACCTTTCTTACCATGGTTATAATCTATGGTACTGTAGTGCACACTACTGATACCGAACTCATCTTAATACTACCTTGATTTGATACAACCCCTTTGGGACCTATTCTAGTGTCTTGTACTTTTGCTGCATGTGCATTATCTGACAGAAATGCAGGGGTGCCAATACTTTTGGCCATTACTATATATATATTATTTCTAATTGTATTTATATCTATATTTGTTTTTTTTTTTTCTTTTTCAATAAATAACTTATATTTAAAGCAGTAAGCAGGACTGCTCTTACTAATTAGCAGACATATGAGCAGCACACCTTAGATGTAATAAACATAACCTAAATAATATGGAACACTAGAAACCAAAGAAAAATACATATTTTGGGTTCATAGGTTGGAACCCGAAGGATGCATGTCTCTGTTTTAAATGCAAAAATAAATAACTATGTAATGTTTCCCAGTGAAATTAGTAAGTCACAAATACATACAGGGTTATTCACAGAAGGGTGAAGAGTTTGGAGAAGGCGGGAGAAGTGAACAATCTAGGACAAAGTAGCTGATTAGGAAAAATTCTCCAATTCGGCTCACTTTCCAGTTTAGCTATGTTGTCCTAGATTGTTCAAAAATTTCTCATACAAAAACCATATAAACCAACTATATACAGCTTGAGAACGAAGGATCCACCTCCTGCACCTCCTGAATTACAGATACTGTAGGTAAACACCATTTGGAAATGTCTTAAAGAAGAACTCCGGGAGATGTAAAAAATAAACCTTTGCAGTGGAGCTATCCCCATACTGCGAGGGTTAACTGTTCGCTTTACTCTAGATCAGGGATGGCCAAACTGCGGCCCTCCAGCTGTGGTGGAACTATGAATCCCATGAGGCTTTGCAAGATTCTCACAGCCACAGACATGACTCCCAGGGAGAGAGGCTTCATGGGATTTGTTGTTTCACCACAGCTGGAGGGCCGGAGTTTGGCCATCCCTGGTCTAGGGGCTAAAATGAAGAAAATGTACTCCCCTGATCCTCAGTCCTGCCTGGGTGCTAGACCAGTTCCTGCAGCCTCTTTTCCCAAGGGCTCCGGTGGTCTAAGGAGCCATGATGGCATAACATGTAATACAGCTGCATTAGATGTGGACACTGAGGGAGTGAAGGGGGTGAGCTAGAGTTGAGGGGGAGAGAAGTGACTGGTGAGTAGGACTGAGGATTAAGTGAGTATATTTTCTGTATTTTAGTCCCTAGAACAAAATAAGCAGTTAACCCTTTCAGTGCAGGGGGTAACCCCACTGCAAAGTTACATTTGTAGATTTCCTGGAGTTTCTATATAAACTGTCTTATGTGTGTATAGGTCATTGAGCTGCTTGCCCGTGTGTGTGTAAGATGGTAAATAATAAGCACCCAGGAAATAAACCAGCTCCCTTACAATGGACTCTAACATTCAGTGCACACAGTCAATAAAAATAATTCCCATGGCGCCGTGCCATTGCCAGAGGCAGGTTTCACTGGCATGTTTAACCTTTTATTGTATGCTTGGGGAAGGTCAGTGATGGAGTCCTTGTCAAGTGATAGAAACTCTGCTTGGACTGGTTGAAGAAACATTTATGTGATGATTTACTATAGAGATACGTCTGTCTCTTTTGTCTCAAAGACAAGGATAGGCAACCTCGGCACTCCAACTGTTGTGGAACTACAAGTACCATGAGACATTGCAAGACTCAGACAGAGACAGAAACATGATGGGATTTTTAGTTTCACCACAGCTGGAGTGCCGGGGCTGCCTACCACTTCTCTAAAATGTTCACTTACTCAGTGCAGCTGTTTTTACCTCTATCATCCAATCATGTACAAAGGAATTTCCTGTTCGTTTTTATTTTTCCTGAACTCGACTGGGTCATTTTAGTGACACAGCTTAAAGAGTAACTCCACTTTTGCTGTCATCATTCATTAAAGACAAATGCATGCACTAATACAGGTATGAATTCATTGCAGTTTTTAAATGCAAAGATTTAAACAGAGTCATATTACGAGTATTTATTTAAAAAAAGATAAAATCATTGTCATCACCCCAAACTGACCTGAGGCTCTTTGTATGCATAAAATCTATTCTTTTTTTTTTTAATTTATTGCAGCTTTACAGACTATTATTAAATGTCTTTCCGTCTTGTAGATCTGGTTTATAAGCATGATATAACCCGTGTCTGGGTGTGCTACCTCCAAATTACATTCATGTCTACAATATGTAGGAAATCCCCAGGTGAGAAAAAGAATTTAAATACACCACACATGTAACAAAAACAAAGAAATCCGTGTTAACGAAGACAGATGTTATCCCGCCAGCCTTAAAATGAACCTGCGGCCAGACTACGCACATTGAAATATTTACCTATTCTGAACATGCAGTAAAACACTTTAAAAACAAGGCTTCATTCACCTCTATATCTGTAGGCATTGTGGAGAAATCCATCTTCAAAGGTTAAAACAGAGGCACTGAAATCACAGCTTCTCGCTCTTTAGTTGTGAACCGCTTCACACCAGTTATATGCTTATATGTGACAGCACAGAGGTGCACCTTATTCTGTGTTGCCATATATATGCGCCGTTGTCTTGTCTTAGCAGTACACTCAATCAATCATCCTCATCCTTCAAGCTCCTGTTGCGCCCAAGGCAAGAACAGAAAATTGTGCCGCCCCCTCTAAACTGACCCCTGACACTTCCCTTTTTAAATAGAAAAAAAGATTGAGGACACAGAGTCCTCTGCCCATACAGGCGGGGGAGAGCAGTGGGGATCCAAGGGGAAGCTGGTGGCTATGCCGCCCCTCTTCTCCCTGCCGAGCCACAGCTGTGTTGGCCGCCTGGTGCTCCATTACCAATGGCGCCCTGTGCCTGCCATGGCAACAGGGGCGAGGGTGCACAGCTAGGCCAGCCCTGGCTACGCCCCCTCTCAGCTGCACCTGTGGTGAGTGCTTCGCTCGCCCCATGGTAGCTACGGCCCTGCCTTGTATTGTACAACACTAAAAATTAATTGTGTGAGCCCCATGAACTTTTTCTAACTTATGGCACCCTTAAAAGGTATGCAAACTTTTGACGCACCCCAGTTTAAAATGTAAGGGGAACCCCATGCAAAAACACACACAAAGTGGGGTTCCTATCTTTGCATCGAAGTCCTCCCTTCAAATCAGGAGCCCCCATTCACATCAGAGCCCCCCTTTCACATCAGAATTTTCTCTGTCATATCAGAGGCCCCCTTTCATATTGGAATCCCCCATTTACATCAAAGTGCCACCATCAGAAAATGTTGAGGCATCACTTAGGAAGCCAGAAGGCACCCCGGTGTGCCTCAGCAACCTGGTTCAGAAAGGCTGGTCCAGACCACCGCCCAGGCCCGGATTTCCCACAAGGCCACCGAGGCCCGGCCTCGGGGCGGCAGGGGGAGTAAATCCGGCCCTGCCACCGCCACCAATGAAGAAGAAGAGAAAGAACACCTCATGTCACCAGGCCAACCAGAAGACTGCAGGGAAAAGGCATATAAAGGGATTTCAAGAAACAAAAGTGCAGAGGAAAAGAACAGGGAGGACGGACAAAAGGTAGAAAACGTGGAGTTGGGCTTGAAGATTCTTCAATCATTGTAGCTCTTTATGAGAGCAAATTTTTGAGTCACCAGGGACAGGACTAGTAAGCGTTACTCCTCTTCTTTTACATGCTTCTTTTTAGGTTCTGCACTGACAGTTTCTCTTTAAAACGTCTAAAATACTTAACATTTTTGTGTGAACAGTCTTAAAGTGTCCCTCTCATGGGCAAACTGTAATTTCATGACTTTGGATCTCTGCTCTTTCGCAGCTAAATAATACAAAAGACAAAGAGGCTTAAATGGGATCATTGTGCAATATGCGGGATTCATTTTCTCCATTGAAACTCAACTTATTTTATTCATTTTCATTATTTAATTAAACTCTCTGCCAAACTTACACAAGCACAGAAAATTCTTTTAACACAGATTTGGCACTAAATCTATGAAATCTATGAGTACATGAGAACATTCAGGTCTGTAGCCAAGTAATACATGCACTGTGTTTGAAAGGGCAGCTTCACCTTTGGGTGGCCATAGTTATAGTGACCTTCATTAGAGTACAGCTCAGTTATAAGAATGAATGGGGCTGCGGCACATATGCACAGTTATGAAGAAAAGCTGGCCATGTTGTTGTGGGGGAAAGATCACTGGATTGAGGAGGAAAGTAAATTTAGGTTAGGAAAACTTGCAGTAAAGATTAAGAGATTGGGTGAGTAAACAGATATTCCTTTACATTCTGATCCTTTGTATATGTACATCCTGGATTACTATATTAAATGACAAGTCCCAAATTCTTTGAGGCAATGAACATTTACTGCAAACTTTAGAAGTGACATTGACGAGGTGCAAAGTTTGGTAGGCATTGTTGGGGAGTTGTGTTGTTGTTCTCTTTATTTTCTCCTTGTCACGGTCCAACGACCGGGGCACACAAAATGACTAAAAGTAGCGTGCAAAAAATGGTGCTTGGGATGCAGATCACTGAAAACACAGGAAGTAGGTGTCTGAGCGTTACCGGGGACGCACTACAGGTGCAGAATCTGAGAAGGGCTAGGTTTTTGACAGAGCCTCTAATGGTGAGGATGATTGGCTGCTGGACACCTTCCAGGTTGCGGCCCTCTAGCGAGCCCACACAGACACAGAGGCTAGTTCTAGTGCCCATGTGCTGGATAGAACAGCAGGCAGGGGTGAAGCCTATACACAGAGAGCGGTTCTGGATACGCAATAGTAGAAGTCCAAACAATAGTGTGATGGGAAGCAGCAACAACACAGCTATCCAGGATACACTAAAGAGCGAGGCTGCATGGAACAAGCATCCATCCAAGAGGTCAGACACACAGGTAAGCAGAGGTGCAAGGGCTCACTGAAGGAGACGATAACAATCCACTTGCCGGACATCCAGGATTTCACTGGGAGCGTGAGGGAATCCAGAGACACACAGGGAACAAGGCAGGTAACAGCAATCCACAGGGATTCAAAGGCAAGCGATATAAAGGGAGTCCAACTTAGTGTAAAGACATGTTGCTTGAACGGCACGGAAAAAGTGAGCTGGACTTCTAATGGAGAGGTTCAGAGCGGATTGGCAGGACACTGAGTACCTCAGACAAAGGTAAAACCCACTGCTGGGTCATCCTACAGGAAAGTGTGACACTCCTTGGTAGCATCAGGACATTTTTTATCCAGATCAGTGAAATGGGAATGGGTAAAGTCAACTTTTCGTTGCTAGAAGGTATTCTTGCTGTTAACATTAGAGGTCCATCTGTAGAAGGATGTATAATCCTTTAAAAATGTGCCAAGTTACCAAACGTTTGCCAAACTGCTTATGGTATATAGCAAAGATTACAACTGTGTTTAAGGCCAGCTCTGGCCTACCACTCCTTGAGGCCCTTCCCCAAGTATGTATTTTATGCTATATATAATTTTTTCTTTACTTACCTTTTCCAGATGTCTTTAGGCCAGTCACATAATAAGTCAATCTTCTTACTCTTTGGATCTCAACGCCACTCTCTGGGCTCTCTGGCTTTGGATCCATTAAGTCCTTCACTTATAGTATGTCTTCAGTCTTCTGGCTTGAATGGCACTGGACATCATGCAAACCAGAAGACTGAGGGCATCTAGACATCAAGCTCCAGACTTCCTACCAGGAGCTGAATACTAGGCATTCCGTGATAGGATGACGGGCAATGACCAAGAATTCACTGCAAAAATATGAGGTGTCCTCTGAATGATTGCTGTGCTGAGCAAGCGACCCACTATGTTTTAAAAGCACTGAGGTAGCCGCTGAGCAAAGCGGCTGTTCCTATACAGAGGTGGACTGACCATACGGGCATTCGGGCACGGCCCGAGGGCCCGCGGCCACTAGGGGGGCCCATGGCCTCACCCCCTCCAATAGTTTTTACAGCTGACGGGGCCCAGAGAAGACTGCGGCTCGTCTCCTGCACGGTGCAGGCGGCACCAGACTCTCCCTGGACGGCCGAGCATCCCGTTGCTGTCATCCAGATGGCTGAGGTGAGCAGCAGCAGCGGTGTGTCCATCCCCCCTCCCCCCCGAGATAGTGCCACTCCATCCCCCTGCCAGCGCTCTGTCACCCGCAGTGGTAGGACCGCTGCATGTTCGGGCGGATGTGCGGGGACGGAGAGGCTGTGACAGTCAGGTCTGCAGGCACCGCTAGGCCGCACACCCTGCTGTGTGGGAGAGGACCTTCTCCTGCTCTCCCATCCCCTGGGCACCAAGAAGAGAGGATAAAGGCTGGAGGGGGGTGGGGGTGGGGTGGAGAGTGTTGAAGCTGGTGGTTTTAATTAAGCTGATTTGCAATATTATGTATTTGTAGTCGGGGCAGACTGACCATACGAGCAGCCGTCCCCTTGGAGGCATCCCACCCCCTGTACCCCTTCCAGCCCACATGGAAGGAGACACGGCTGTGATAAAGCGGCGACGGCAGTGTCGCCCGCCTACAAGGCCCACCAGACACTGCCGTTGCTGCTTTAACACAGCAGCGTCTCCTAGTTTGACGGCTGCGAAGAGTCCAGAGGTAGGGGCGTGTCATGCTGGATGGAGGGTGGACCTACCGCCGGCTGCACGAGAGCCTGAGGCTGGGGGGGCCCCACTGAGGTCCCGTCCCAGGCCCCCGACTGGAGGATTTTTTTTCGTATTTTTTTTCTTTAAAGGAGAACTATGGGGTTAGGGCTTTTCCCCATAGTTCTCCTTAGGGTAACGGGAGGACACAAACTAGCTTCCTCCCGTCACCCTAAGCTGAGAAGCAGCAGCTGAAGTGGATCCCGACAATTATGTCTGGATCTGCCCCGCTGCGTGAGTGACAGCTGGCTTTGCCTATCTAGAGGCAGAGCAAGCTGTAGCCTCCCCTCCCCCGTCCGTTCCGCCAGCCAGCGCTGGAGGACCGGAGCGGGGAGGGGGGAATCCAGCCCCTCCCCTGTCACGGCAAAGAGCCGTGACAGGATCGAGAAGTGAGCGAACGCCGGTATGTGTTCGCTCTCCTCCCGATCTATTGTCACAGGTCGGCTAGAACTATGAGGTGAGTGAAAAGCACTCACCTCATAGTTCTCCTTTAAAAAAATAAAATAAAATCTTGGATTCTTATGTGAATATTTTATTCTTACATCATAGTGTAAGCATCACTACTACATTTCTACTATTTACAAAAACCAGACCGTAACCTGGAGAGCCGGAGCCCATCGCTGGTATGCCTTGATTTTCTTTTTTATGAGCTAGAAATGGGGGGAATTTTAATCTTTTAGGCTCCATTCACATATAGGGTTTGCATTTCCCATGTGGTCTTCCGCATGGGACGCAGACGTTATATGTGAAACAAATGCATGATTCCGCTCCTTTGTGGCCATTATATAGTTACGAATGCACGGAATCTGCCGGATTAATGCACTTGCACTATTTTGGGGACCACGTGGTTTCCGCAATATTGCAGTGCATTACACGATCGTTTATGAATATTTACATTGTGCTAAGCTGCACCAATGTAAGTATATATACATTTTTAAAGCTAGTGTTCAGCTTTAAACAAAGGTCTTTGGTTTAATGCAGAGTTCAATTGTTGCAGAGTAAAAATATGAGTCTATTGCTCTCTTAAATGTGTCCTAGCATTTCTTCATAGTTTGGATGGTAAACAGGAGATCTGACTGACAACTGTACTCAAAAGTGTCAATCAGTCCTCACCCCATCAAAGGGTCAAGGGGTGTATTGATAGTTCTGCTGGAGTATTTTGTTATGCTCAGCAGACATACCTTTAATGCTACTATTTTATATACATCTATATTTTTATCTGACAAGGTTTTACAATCTGACAACCAACATCTTATTGAACAGAATGAAATTATGATTTGATAGACACCAAATGTGATCTTATGTTTGCCTTTCCTAGGCAGTGTAATGTGACCCATTACCCTTCGGGACCATGTAGTATAGGCATGTTTAGTGTCTACCTGATTGGTATCTTATTATACATTTGTGTAGCCACTTTTTGTAAAGGTGACCCCATCACAGCAGGAATTATGGATTATTTATAAAATTTGCTTCTCATCGTTCAATTTTAGGTCAAAACTAAACAGACTCACGCATAGGTACTCCTCATTTGTTCTGCAGCCTGTTTACAACCCTGCTAATAAAGTTTTATGACATGTCTGCTTTGTTTCTAGCTTGAAGTATTTTCTGTCAATTTTGCTTTAAACTAGATTTTTTTGTCAAATGTGTCACCTTCTCTGTCTGCCCAGCACAGGCATGACATTTAAATATGACAGTTTCTGTTACAGACTTGTGCATTTTGCACAAAATGAGGGAAGCATTGTGTTTAGTGTCAGGTCTCATTACCTTTGCAGTAATCATAAAGAGAAACAACAGCAATGACACTAATCATACACATATATTGAGATTAGAGAATTTTAGCAGTTCCCAAAATGCACTGTTTTCCATTAATATTTTCACATTGAAAAGGCCTCGCTAGAATACTGTTTCCAGACCAATCACAATTACCTAGTACTGGGTACTCTCATTTTTACAGAGTTAGAGAGTTTATATCCACCCAGTTCAAAGCACATGAAAGATTTTACATGCCATGTAACCATGAAATACTGTATATTGGGTCCATCTAGGATATGTTCGTAGCCACTTGCTACATGCTAGTTTTACCTATTCAGCAGTTACTTTGTATCCATATAAACCTTTCATGTGCAGCTGAGTACAGTATGCTGCTGCCATCTTGTGAGCTTTAACATTTACTACAGAAACTATTACAGTAAATGTAATCCAGCTTGCTCAAATATAATCTAAACTTTAGTATATAAAAATGTAAACACCAAAAAGGAAGGGCTCTGAGTATTTTCAGGTGCTACCAATAGATAACTGTAAACAAAAAATAAGTCAAGGCAACTGGACTTGCTGTTATTAACCTGCCCAGAGAGATATTAAAACAGCATTGTATGTGTACCAATGGATGTACAACTGTATTATTTTTTAAAATAAAATATATCTTTTTAAACAATGTTTAAACCATAAAAAGACACAGGAGTAGATAATTAAATTATTAAACATACATAATTTACAGAGTTTACAAAGATACTTATGAATTAACACACATAACACGTATCAATGCATTTTGTTAATGCACCACAAAGAAGAATATCAGCTTTAACAGTAACAATCCCCTCCATTTAGCTCAAAGTGCTTAACCATCCCTCCCCAACACTTAACCCCTAAAATGTTTCCTTAATACCTGTGTATTTAAAATGTGTATATGTTTATATCAATCCCCTACATTTATAAGCTACTTAGCACTGTGAAAGTGTCATAAATACATTTGCAAATTTGTGTTTCCAAGATTAGTGCAGGGCTCTATTTAAAAAAAAATATTCCAAAATATTCCCACATGGGGACCCTACCCCATGTTGAGGGCAAGTGGCTTGGCATGGTACAGGAAGGGAATGGCTGTATGCCCTTTCCTGCTCTGCCAGGCAAATGCTTGGATCAAGTGTCTGGTAAGGGATTTTAGGGGGTCCCCATGCTTTGTTTTTTGTTTTTGTGTGTGGCGTCCCCCCTTAAAATCCCCATCAGACCTAAAGGGCCTGCTTTGAATCAGGAAGGGGGGGAGTACCTGGCATTGTTTATTTCATTACTTAGTTTAATTAAATTAGGGGGTTTTTTTTAAACCCCATCCGAATGTCTAAAATGTCTAAAATTAAAACATTTTAATTCAGATTTGTTCCAGAAAAATCCGAATGGATCCGAAATGAAAAGAAACAAAACACATTTTTACTGTTTACATGTCTACCAAGTATGGCTTTTAAATAAAGTTTTCCTTTCAAAACATACACACAGCTCAGTTCGTTTCCCAGTCTGATCTTCATTGGATGGTATCATGTGGGCTCATTGAAAATGGAAGTGCAATAATCATCTCCAAAATACCCAGAGCAAAGGATTTTTTGCTATGGGGCACTGTTCGCAACACTCATCTTTAAAGTTCAGCTCCAGCTATTTTATTTTTTTTTGGATAAAGGGTGGAAGATTTAGCACCTCTGTCAGGATTTATTGCTGTCTCAGTCCCAGGTAGGATGTTGTCCCCTCACTTCTTCTCTGTTGGGACAGGGGCAGAAAACTATAATAGAAATAAAAGTATAAAGATGTAAAAAGTATAAAATGTAGTAAAAAAAAAACTTTTTGTACCAAAACTAGAAAAAAATAGTTTGGGCTAAATTTAGGCTTTTAGCCTGCAGTTCACAAGTCAAGCAGGTGATTGCCATGTGTTGTTTTGAACCTGTTTCGTTATTGATGGCTGCAGGTATTTCATCATTTCATATTTACTTTATTTAAATTGTGTCAGACATTTATTTATACTGAAAGTGTTACAATGTTGTTAACCGCAGTGCTGAAAAACAATTAGATAATGGAAAGTGTCTTTATCACAGTAATAGCACAACCTACCAATGCATTAATTAAAGCCCAGCTCCAGCCTCAGCTCTTCTTAAGTCTGTTTATGTCTCTCTATGCCTTATGATAGCATAACAGCAT